ACGCTCACCGCCACTACCAACTTCAACGTCCATCTTGGGATCACCACCACGGTCCTCAACGCGAAGACGTTTAGATGATGAGGTGGGCGGGTTATCCCCGCCCCCCTCGTTACCCTCCATTTCAAAGGATCAAACCTTAAAATTTACACTATTTACAATTAATTTTAAGATAAAAATAATAAAATCAAATATTTAAACGAAAAGAAATTTAAAACTACGCGCGCTCTATTTGGAGTTCCCGCCAAAAGTCCTTTGATTTTGGCGTTTGATGGAAATCATAGATTTAATTTTTTCAATTTAAAAAAAGGTCCAGAACAATTTAACCTTAGGGCCTAAGATTTAGGCATTAAGTTTAGATTTCACAATACTACTTTTACACAACTATTCTTTCTACAAATGTTGTTTAAAATAATAATTATAAAATTCCACTGGATATTACTTTTGTCTTTAAATCCCAATTCTCATCACAAATATATATTCTTTGATCACAAGTCACAACTAATCTTTTTCTTCTTTGGCTTGACTGATTGACAAGGTTTTCACCTGTGGAGTTTTTGTTTTATAATTTTATTAATTTCGCTGTAACTGTGTTTTAAATTGAATAATTTATTCACAAAATAGTTAAAAGATCCCACAGTCGTTTGCCCTGCGTCTGAAATTGTTGATTTAACTAATCTTCAAAGTTTAACCTATACGTCTCGTAGGATATAAATAAAACTAAAATGGCAAAAAGTAATATTAATAAAGACAAGGGAAAAAATGCCGATGAAATTTTCAATGCCTTCCAAACTTTACGCAACGAACAAAGACAATTAGCAAATAAAATTACTGAATTGGAGATGGATCTGAACGAGCACAAGTAAGTGAAGCTTATCAAACTTACCTATAAGACCTCACAATTCATCAATAAAAGTGCAATTTTCTTTAACAGGATTGTTATAGAGACTTTACAAGGGGTTGATAAGTCGCGAAAATGTTTCCGTATGGCCGGTGGAGTGCTTATTGAGAAAACCGTCGGCGATGTGTTGCCTATACTCGAATACAATAAAGAACGTCTGCCGCAAGCGATCGAGGCTTTGAACGAGCAATTGGCGCGTAAAGGGAAAGAAATCAATGAATACATCGAGACTCACGACATCCGAGTGCATCGGGGCCACCAAGCGCCAGAGAGCACTGAAGAACAAGCCACTAAGTCTAATGTTCTTGTTGCTAGTGAATGACCGCTATAGCTTTAAAAACACTAAATGTCTCGTTAATCATAGCTTTTATATAGTTGTGAATCAACTGTTTAAATAATGCCTTTCATTATTTATTGTAGCCAAAAGGCATACAAGTTACCCATCTGATTAAAAGAATTGTTTCTTACGAGATCATGAGAGATTTAAATCTTTTCTTCTAATGGGTTGTTTTATGTGTAGTTTGCTTTTGGAAATTATGTTTAAAATAAAAAAAATATATTTTCACTACATATAATGTATATAATATTATTTAAAGAACAGATTTCTTTGTGTAATGAACAGAATTCTTTGTTATGTGAATCATTTAACAATTTCAAATGTGACAGATTAATAAACAAGCCTCTGCCCCCACTATAAGTTCAAATTTAATTTTCTATCTAAAATATTATCTTTTATTGAATTGTTGCTCTGCAGTTTAACATGTAAATTTAATTTACTTTTTGTCTTTTTGAGTTAAACTTATCCTAGTCCCAGTTTATGTCGTAAAATGTATCATGTTAAGGAAGTAAACAAAATAATAGTATTTAAAACATTATGTTTGAAATTTTGTTATGTATTGAACAAATTAAATTACAAAACTAATTAAATTAATCACTTTTGATGCTTTCTTTCTTTGGTCATGCATAATTTTTTCCAAAAATTACTTTACTAAATATGTTAAGAAATAAAAAAAATAACAATTTTACATTTTTTTTTAATTAGCAAAATACAAAATTTATGTTCCCATAAAAATGATACAATTATAAAAAAAATATATTATTTTAAGTATATACCATGACCACATTGCAACACCTTAAAAATTAGAAAAAAAAACATAGGGACAAACAAATTTTCAAAGGGAATGAAAAATATTATGTCTAATGATCATCATCAATAAATAGCAAATTGAAATATTTCTCTTTTACTGCAATATTCTATATGGCACATAGGATTTGGAATGTATGGATGTTTGACTACATTTAATGCCACCGACATGCCCTATGACATTATAGTTGTAGCACTGAATGTATTAAAAAAGTTTATTTGAATGCGTTACCAATGGTCATAATATATGCATGTAATTTAAAAATATATTAGTACCATAACCAGACTAAATGTACGATAAAACTACAACACTATACATGGTGATTCATCTCTGAATCAATTCATAAGTTCAGACTTAAATTTGATCCGTTGAGTTATGACTCAACAACTAAATTTTCAGCTCACCGTCATGTACTACTATAACTATAGAGCCGCGAGTTGCCTGGTGACTCGAAGTTCGCAAATCATAAGTCTATGCAGGCACCAATTGAGCTGAGCCAGTTCATAGATGTGAAATGTGAGTTGATCTGCAGGTCATCAAATTTAGTTGAGTTACCTATTACTATATGGTACAAAAGTTTGTACCAACGCTCACATTAAAGAGCGTTGGTGGCTCAAGGGTTAAGCACTTGTAATTTGTAGGTCCTGTGTTCGAATCCCGCCATGTACCAATGTGTTTTTCAATTTACATATATGTACATTTATCCGACATTCTTACAGTGAAGGAAAATATCATGATGGATCCTGCACATATCTATGAATAAATTCAAAGATATGTAAGAAATCAACACACACTGGGCCAGCGTGGTTGACTATGGCCTATTCACCCCTAACTTATGGTAGGCTCCGAGCCTCCCAGTGGGGACATATAGTGAGCTGGTGATAAATTAGTGTCAGCCACTGAGTAAAAATCTGTATAATTCTAAACAGTACTGACATTTATGTCGTAGTCTAATCGTATCTTTATATACTTGAACTTATAGTCACAACAAATACGTTAATAAAGTTATAAAAAAATTAACAAAATGTTACAACTCAATGTATAAAATAATTTATCAAAAATTTTTAAATTAAAGATTTGGTCCACAAATTAAATTCGAGACAATTTTGGGAGGTAAATATGAGACTTAACTTTAATATAAACTAGCTAAAATCAGAACAAAAAAACAACAAAATGACTGATAAATCTAAAAAAATATCAAAATATTATCCAAAAAGTTATAATGAAAACGAAAAATACTTTTTTAAATCTAAAAATTATTCAAATCCAATAAACATTTCATATTTTATATATATTATAAAAATCACTATCAAAATAGATTCTTATTTCCAGTCTTCTCATGTCCAGGTGATTCCAATATTTTCTCTTACCATAGACTTGACACTTCCAGTGAAAAATAAAGTGATTTACAATACAACATCGAACATTCTGGCTCTGTGTACTAAAGCACATTTAGGTTATAAAAAGTTGTAAGTCTTAAGCTTAACCAAAACCACATATTAAATAGTTGCATTAATTATTTGAAATTATGTGCTTACCACAACCTATGACAATAAAATTATAAAAAAAAACAATAGACGGAATATGCACAACTTTGTTACTATAGACTGGGGTTTTTTTTCATGCCGTCTCCATATCTTCCTTGCATGGCAAGGATTTGTTTAAAATGTTATTTCACTAGCTTTAATACTAGACTGGGTTAGGAATGACCAACTGTTGAAACAACTATATGAAAGCGCAATACAAGACACTAAGCAGTGATTCCTGTCTAGTTGCTAGGACGGAGTATTTAACTGTTCAAAGTACTAATGTGAAGCTTGCTCTATGTTATACCTTACTATATAATAAACTAGTACTGGAAATATGTAACTATATGAGCACCGAGAGCTGCCAAACAATGGCAAATTTACAGCAAAAAAAAAATCACAACTTTAATAAATCTTAACAAAAGTAAAAATAATGTCTTTGTTTCTCAAATATCTAACAATTCCTTACAAAAATATTAATAAATCGATTTGCAAATATATTTGGCCGACCTCCATAAAAGTTGGAACGACACGAATCTAAGAGAGATTGAGCGGCATCATCTAGAAGTGCATGAGGTCAGTGGGCGCGTACGTCTCGTTGGGCTTTATGGGCGAGGTGTCGTGGGCGCGCACTGCGTGGGCGGGGGCGGACTCCTGCGCCGGCGGTCCGCCGAAGTCGTGGGCGCCGCCCGACTTGGTGAGGACACGGAGGTCAGTGATGATCATGTGGCGGTCCACGGACTTGCACATGTCGTAGAGCGCGAGCGCGGCCAGCGCGGCGCCCGTCAGCGCCTCCATCTCGACGCCGGTGCGTGCGGTGGCGGCGGCGGCGCACGTGACGCGCACCAGGCCGCCGTGCGCGCACTCGCCGCGCGGCAACGTGATGCGCACGCGGGCGTAGTCGAGCGCCAGCGGGTGGCACATGGGGATGAGGTCGGCTGTGCGCTTGGCGGCCAGCGCGCCCGCCACCTGCGCCACCGTCAGCGCGTCGCCCTTGGGCAGACTGGCGTCGCGCAGCAGCCGCAGCAGACGCGCCGACACGCGCACCAGGCACTCCGCCTCGGCGGCGCGCGCCGTCACCTTCTTGCCGCCCACGTCCACCATGCGCGCGCGGCCCTCGCCGTCTAGATGCGAGAGCGTGGGGGGCGCGGTGCAATAGGCGCGCGCGGCGAGGGGCGCGGGCGCGGCGGGGCGGCGGGCGAGGGCGAGGGCGTGTGGGCGCGCACGCGGGCGTGGGCGTGGGCGCGGCAGGCGGCGCGCTGTAACGTTCCACATCTAAGAGGCGCAGCGCCGTCGCCGCTCGCGGGCCCACTAGCCTCCTATCAGTATCATTGGACGGTTCTCCATACGCGCGAGATTCTGCATGCCTACAAAACATTACAAGGTTCGGCTCCGTACGGACGTGTCGCAACGAGTAGGCACTGCTGTTTGATAATGAAATTATCGCTAATCTTATACGAATCACGAATGCACGCGCGGGGAAATAACAAAAACAAACATTTCCACTTATTAATCCCAGTTAATTGAGTAGTTATTTGCACACTAGGTTTTCAATAAATGTGATGATGAGTCTTTATGCTTTTACAAACAACTGTTGCTACAAGTGGTGATGAACCGTATGATATGACCGTGTTAAATTTACAAAGTGACATGACACCGTGAGGTAACAAGTAAACAAAGTGACGTCCATAAACTACGTGATACTATAGTGGGATGGCGAGCGTGACGATAATACAAATACAATATTAATTTTCACACGTTATATTAAAAATGGAGAATTAGTAGTACATCAATTCAAAGAAAGTCATATTGTAAATTCCTACGTTTTTGGATATTGTTACAAAACATTAGTGCATATTTCTAGTATTATAGAACATTTATAATACAAACAAATAAATAATCTTACGAATTAGTGAGAAGCGGTAAGCCGGTGCAGATGTCCAGTGTAACATGACCAGTGTGAGAAAGTCCGTTACGATGGCTCTGAGTGTGATGGCTGAAAGGTACCAGTGGAACTAAGCATTGCACGGGGGTCATGCTAATTTAGATTTGCATTAATGGCATGAATTAGTTAAAAGCAAATGAGTAAACAGCAACAAGTAATGAAAAGTGATGGCAAACAAACGATACATCGAACATTTTATGACTAAAGCGAGCTATATATTCATATTTTAAATATTTTAAGCACATTTACACTAATAAAATTTCTTTGTTATTTCACATGTAGTGTCTTACTCCAGAAAAAATATAAAATTTAGAAAAAGCGATGTTTTGTCAAGTTTTTTTTTGTATCTAAAATATTAGCAGATTTTTTTGTAAATTTACTAATATTTCTTTTACCATTCCAACTAAACTCTATGCTTGTGCTAGGATATGGTTCACGACAATAGTCCAATGTCGGGATTCGAACCCCCGGCCTCATGATCGGAAATCCGTACCCTTAACCATTAGGCTATTGACGCTTAATAGTATAGTTTAGCTGTAATGTTTTAAAAGGTATTAATAGTTCAAATGGAGGTACATGGTCTCTGCCAGTAGTAGTCTGTGCAGAGTAGTGACGCTGAGTTAGAGGCGTGAGCGATGTTGTTATAGTGTTACCTGCATGCTGCGGCTTCTTGTTGCGCAGCGCGGTGCGGATGAGGGTCTCAACTTCTGCGTCCGAGGCACCAGCACGCAGCGCCGCGCGCAGCGACACCTCCGCCGCACCGAACAGGCACACCTGCTCCCCCCCACCCCCACCCCCACACATACATATATACTTCGTATCTTCGTTAGAGTAAGATTAGGCGATCGCCCAGGACACTGGACAGAAAGGGACGCCAAAGGTCTGCGAATTGCAGTCTTACGTAGTCCTGTTACCGCCCGCGAAAAATGCGGCCCACCCACAACGTTTGTATCGGTACTGTACCAACCCAAATATTTCGTCGTTGTTGTTGGAAAATAAGATTTGTTACAATAAAATAATTTATTTGCACCTTGAGATTGCCGTCAGCGGTGAGTCGCAGCCGGTTGCAGGAGGAGCAGAAGGGCTGCGTCATGGAGGAGATGAACCCCACGCTGCCCGCGTGCCCCTCCACCTGCCACACCTATGACACCACAACAATACCACACACTGGGATAAAGTACGTTGACCCAATAAGCGGCAATAGCCTAATGATTAAGGGTAGGTTCGATTTTTGATTACGTGGTCGAGGGTTCCAAATCCTGCCATTCGACTATTGTCGTAAACCATATTCTAGCACAAACCGAGACAAAAAGTGTACCTACTTTCTAATATTGTAATGTTGCAAAAGAGCCACCTAAATTCACCGAAATAACAAAGCGACCGCTATTCAGATGCGTCTTCTACCTTTAATCGACGGAGGATAGGATGCACAGAAAGAAAATTCTCATTCCCCTCTCTGTCAAACCCCCTTCCCCTCTCTCTTGTTTCCTTATAAGAAAGTTGTATAACTGTCATGTTCATTATGTGCGTGTGAATGTGTGTACGTATGTGTATGTATGGTTACCGCGGCGGTGTCGCATGCGCGGGGCAGTGTGGGCGCGAGGCGCGGGAAGGCGAGGCGCACGGCCCGCAGCGCCTCCTCGTGCGGCACCATGTGACTGTCGTCCCAGCGGTTGCCGGAGAACGGCATGAACTCGATGAACCTAACGTCGATATTATGTCACCACAACCATTATTCACAATTTCTTTACTACCAAAATAGACAAACTAAGGTCACTATGACATTTGAAATATCTTTTTTTTTATTTCCACCACCGTGGCAGAGCCACAAGAGACCACTGCCTATCGAAGATGATATATATATCACTCACTTCCTACCAATATTATAAATCTTAATAATATTATAAATGCGGTTTTTTTGTATAGATGGATGGTTTGAAAATATCTCCAGGATGGCTCTATGGATTTCGCTGAAATTCGGCATAGATGGAACACATAGGCTACTAATTTTAAATCCCGCGCGTATGGAGTCGACATATAGTACGAAATAAAGGATAACTCTCACCTAACTTCCACTTCTCTATCTCGTGTGAACTCCACAAAATCGCATATCTCATCATCATTGAACCCTGCAAGAGAACATTCGGTCAATAACTGACTATAATGACGTCAACATTGTTACTCCAGTATAAGTGAGCGAACCTCGCATGAGCACCGTGTTCACTTTGACAGGCCGGTAGCCGAGCTGCAGTGCCAGGTCTATTCCTGCCAGGACCTTCTTCAGTCCCTGTGTTAGATATATCTATATTAGAAGCACTGAACACACAAGCCATAGAAATATAATATTATTTGATTATACAGGATGTCCGAAAAAGCCTTGTCATAATGGAGTACCGCAGAATGCAACTTTCAAAGTTGTTAAATGTAAGTACTTTAACAAACAAAAATAATGGTATCAATATACTAAAATATACGAAACTTAGACTTAGAACTTAAATCTTACTAATGGATGATGGATGGATGGATGTTTGTCAGAAGTTTTCTCTTAAGATACTGTCTGGATCTCACTGAAATTTGGCAATGATGTAGGACATAGTCTGGAAGACCACATAGGCTACTAATTAAGCTTTGTTTAAATCCCGCGCTGAGAGAGTAGTGTACGATAGCTCGTAATAAATTTTTCAAACCGGTCGTCGAGCCATGCGCTCGTATTTGTCAGGTTGGAGGGAGTCAAGTGAAACATTGATTGCTGATAGGCCAGCGCGTTGGTATGCCGGTAGCCTTCTTGTCAACACCAATCCATTGGTGGTCATTGCCACATTACGGATACCAGGGACACTGCATAACTGTTCTGTAATAATTTATTCATAAATCAATGATAATGCCTCAAATGTTGTATGCATTTCATCTAAAATATTGTGTAAAACATTATAGATATACAATTTGTGTTATATAATCCTCTTAATTTTATTATCTCTAGCATTTAATATTTACATTGTTTTTATTGCATTTTACACTTGATAACAATAGATAAGGTTATTTATCATTTTGCTGTACTGATAATTATTTTAAATGATTAATAAAAATTTGGCAAAAGCTGCACTTCAACAACTAAGTTTAAGATTTAAATAATTATATTAATAAGAAATTATGTGTTAAATTTAATTGCAGTACAAAATTATTATAAAAGGGATTGATGTGTTTAACATCAATCCTTTTTATAATTGATGCCAATTGTACATTTTGAAACACATACCAATAATTTCGGCTAAATCAGATCGTAGAGTTGGTTCACCCCCAGTGAGTCTTATCTTATGCACTCCGAGGGAAGCAAACACATTCACAAGTCGATACAGCTCTTCCTTTGTCAATAAATCTGGTTTCGGAGTTAGAGACACCCCCTCAGCGGGCATGCAATACTGACCTGGACAAACATTTTTTTATCAACCTAACTGTAATTGGCTAATATGAATAATAAATTGTTAGGATGATACTGGAAAGTTTTCAGCTGTCAAATGCAAAAAATTTTTGAAGACAAACTAATTGTTACTTACATCTTAAATTACACCTCTCGGTAAGTGATATACGTAGATAGTCATGACGCCGGCCTAGAAGATCGTTTAGAGGTGCTGCCGATTTCACCGCCGCTGAGGTCAAATCCGCTTTATTTGCAACGGTGGCGACCTACGATTTCATAGACGAAAACAAATATGGCTGAGTGCATCTAATACAACTAAATATGTTGCCGATATATTTTTATACTTACATCACTGTAAAATCTCGATTCATTGCCAAAAATGGGCCTGATTAGAGGTAATTTCGCATCAGACTTTAATGCTGTGGCGCGCAGTAAAATTAAAAAGCTTTTCGAGTAACCTTTCATGGTTTTACTTGGGTTAAATGTAATATAACTAATAATTCGCTTTCGATATACGACTAAACGCGCTTTTATTATCAAGGATCGGTATTTACATGTGAAATAAAAATGTACAGATCCCACTAAAATATCTTGCAGCGTTTGTAGAAGTTTATCACAACAAGTTATGTAAAACAAATAGAAAAAAACGATAAGAATCACTTGTCCTAATTATCTTATATAAACGAAGTGAACATGAACTATGAAATAGAAGTCAAATGGAGTCAAAGTGTAAACATGTTCAATTTCGTAAACATCTTGCTGTCAAGCTGTCAACGTCATAAAACTATTTTTTTAATTTTATGACCTGGTAACTTAGACCTTTAGGTCATATCTTATTTGGAATGTCATAAAACGTGGTTACTGGTGGTTACTTCACAGAGCAGGCCAAAGTCTATGGGTTACTTGCCAGTGATTCACACAATTTTTTGTCAGTATCGAAATCGAACAATGGCAATGTAATCGGACAATTGTGATAAGATGAGAGATTCTTTACATATTTATTCTTTCGAAGTATACTTTACAGTGTTATAAAAAACATAACATAAGCTTCAACTAAAATATTCAAGCTTTAATTGGCTTTAATCAAAATCAAACAATTTTTTCTATCTGTAAACATTTTTTTTTATTTATTCCGATTGCTTGGTATATAAGTATCTATAATCTGTGATTCAAATTTATTGATTTTGTTATCATTGACTTGACATTGTCATTTCTACATTGTAAACTTGTATACCCCGGCTCAGCTGTTTCGGAGTTTTTTGTATTATGTTTCCCACAATATTTTAAGAGCAACTTGATTTCTCTTCAGTATGGCTCTTTTTCCTGCATATTCTGCTAAGTCTTTGGAGGAGGGCGACGGGGACGGAGGTATGTATATCGAACTTACCAATAAAATCGGACTCAAATCATAGCAAAACAAATACATATATATATTTTCTCATACATATTCTCCCAAACTATTATCGAATTTTGTTCTTTCGTAGCTCGTTGGCCATTAGAAAACGATGATGCCTTGGAAGAAGAGCTTTTGGCGAGTGATACGGAAGAAGAAATGGATACTCCGCCAGAAACCGAGGCGGAACCATCGAAAAATGATAACTACTACGTAGATTGCAAATCGGATAATGGCAATCGTCGTGTATCAACCCTGTACTATCCTGGCCGACCTCAGTAAGTAGAGATTTTAATAGATACAGTGAGATTTGTTACTCTCGTTTATGAGATTAGGATTTTTATTTATTTGTTAGGTATGAACGCAGTTCGCACCGGCTGGGCGACACAGGTGGTGAGGGAGGGCAGCGCACCCGCCCGCGTCGGTATTTCCGGCAGCACTTACCAGAGTCTACCGATAACAGGTCCGAAGTGCATGAGCGTGCCATGGGGCTCCGCCAATCTCTAGACGATGCACCTCTTGATACCGGACTGTGGGAGAGATACATTGACTTCATGGTAAATATCACAAAAACTTAAAGATTTATCTAAAGACAACTGGGACAGCAGCACACAGAGGTTACAATTATATTGAAAGTTCCAACTTATAAAAAGGATATAGTTGAACTTGGATAAGTGAAAAACATTATGGTCCCTTGGACTCTCCCTTATCAAGTTTTGATTTTGTATATTACATTCATTAGACTAATCTAAGGAAAATCCTACATCATGTCTGACCTGTGAACATTGTAGTATTTTATTGTTAAGAAAGACTGTTTGATTACATTTATTATTGTGGGTTTCCAACTGTAGAATTCTCTTTATTGTTTTTTTTTTGTAATTATGAATTTTCCTATTAATGTAGGAAACCTATGGTGGAGAGAAAGATGTAATGGATGCTGTGGAGCTGGCGATGCATAAGAACAGGAAGTCGCGGCGCGTGCGCATGCGCTGGTACGCCGCATTGCGCCGCACCCTGCCTCCGCAGCCCTACGCCGAGCGTCTGCGCGAGTGCTTAACTAAAGGTATATTAATATTATACAAATAATTTTTCCTTGCCTAAAGGGACTCCTTTTAATAACATATTTTAGTGAATTATTCGTTTTTTTTAATAATAATATTTTATTTTATATCATAGATTTAAGACTGTATGTAATTATAGAAATTAGGATTTATAATAAATTCATTAGTTTACTTATATCAGATTATATGAGGATTTATGAAATATTCAGCAAATTAGAAAATAATCAGTTTTCCGATTAATGATTGTAAGTTTGTTTTATATACTTCTTTCTTTGTGATGGATTGATTTAAAGATAAGTGCTGTTTTCCTATACCAACAGAACAAGATATGAATATGCGGCTGGAGCTGTGGCTGCAGCTGATGCAGGCGTCGGGGGCGGCGGCAGATATTGGCGCGGTCACCTCGCTCGCCTCCGCCGCGCTGCACGACACGCGCGCCCTCCCCCGCGCCTACACGGACATCTTCTATGCCTACGGTCAGTTATACCATCTCCTGTTACATGTCTTACTCGGTACAGAACAGAAACAATGTATGTAGTGCTATATCGGTGTGCGCAGGCGTGTGGGTGCGCGCGGCCGGCCTGTGGGAGCAGCTGGTGCAGCTGATCGAGCTGGTGGCCGCCATGAACTTCCCGCGCGCCGCCTTCCCGCCGCCGCGCGACCTCGCACGCGAACGATGCCGCGAGATGAAGCTCCGCAACATCGAGGACAAGGTAACCCACATCTCTCCCCTCCATGAAATGTATTTATGTTATTCAGTCTAGTAGTTTCATTAATTATTTTTATCATTACAGATTATAGAAAGCGGATTGCCGCTGCCCACGGTGTGGGTACGCGTGGAGCGTGCCCGCGCCGCCGCCCACTGGCGACCGTACCTGCCGCCCGGCAAGGAGGAGGCGGGGCCGAGCGGCGAAGGGGCGGGGCCCGGCCCCGAGGAGGCGTGCCCGCTGGATGACGGGGGTGACCCGCAGCGCACGCCGTTGCCGCACGACGTGGCCGAGCTGCTGCAGCCCATCGTCGATCCTCATCAGCTGTTTAGACTTTCAGTGCGCCTGCTCATGCTCGCCAAGGTAATATAATTTTATCCGCGATACGTCAACAGTATTTGAAAATTGTATGGAGTTATAGTGAGAGTAAACTGTGGTAGTGGTCGTTTAATACGTATCGTGTGTCGTGGTGCAGGTGCCGCTGCTATGCGGGTCCGGGTGGTCAGTGCGGGGCGCGTACGGCGCGGGCGGGGAGTTCGAGTGCGGCGAGGAGCTGCTGGGCGTGCTGAGCACTGCGCGCGCTCTGCCGCCGCGACACGCCGCCTACATCACCTCGGACATCGCGCAGCGCATACTCGCGCTCTTCGTGGACCCCCCGCACTACTTCACAGATGAATACGGTACCTAACAACACACTAATGAAATACACAATTTTGAAATTTTGTTCTCAAAATAAGTCATAGACGTCTCGCTTTTTCTTATTTCTTTATTTCGTTTATCGCAGGTTACCTGACGTGGGTGAACTCGCTGTGGGAGGCGTGCTGCGCGTGGGCCTGCGGGGAGCGGCGCACGGCGCTGCTGTGCTGGCGGCTGCGCTGGCTGCGCGCCCTGCTGCTGGCCGCGCACGCCGGCAGCGCGCCCGCAGCCACGGGCGCGGACTCCGCCACCGCGGACGCTGAGATACGACGTATGCGCGCCGACGCTAAGTACGTGTCGACCTTGAGAATATATTATAAAAAAGGATATTTGTGAGATGTAAGTGATTGTTTTTCGTCTGCAGATGTATCCTGCGGCGGCTGGCGGGGTCAGCGCCGCTGCCGTTCGCGGAGTGGGCGCGGCTGGAGGCGGTGGTGGGCGGGGTGACGGGGGCCACGCGCGCCTCCAGACACGCCCTGCGCGCCGCCATTGAGGAGCGCGATATGCCGCACCACCATGTGCTATACATCGCCAGGTAACTCATCATATTATAAATGCGAATGTTTACATGAATAGATGTTTGTTACGTATCTCCAGACCGCTTTTATGGGATGAAGTTGATATTATCTCAGGTCGAAGTTTTACGAGATAATTCTTCCATTTTTACCAAGAATTAAAATGAAAATATAGAAACTTAATTATTTCGACATAAACTTATATTATGATATGTAAAATGTATGCATGGGTGGGCAGGGTGGCGTGCGAGGTGGGCACCACTGAGGGTCAGCCGGGGCTGCTGGGTGTGACGTCACTGGTGGCGGCCGTGCTGCGCCGCGCCGACCTCCTCGTCTGCGGCGCCAAGCAACAGGATCTTGCCAACGCATTGAGTATCGTGAGTACACCGTGAGAGAGAAAAATTTGTGTGACAGAGAGAGGCTACAATTTGATGGATGATGTTTTATGTCAGTGCGAGGAGAAGTGCAACGAGCTGCAGCGCGAGTACGAGGAGGTGGAGCTGGGGCGGGGTGCGGGGGCGGGGGCGGCGGATGCGTTTGTGGAGGACGAGCTGGAGGTGCTACTGCCCGCAGCCGCGGAGTGGGGCGCCGTGCGCGCGCTGCTCTACTCGCCCTGGCACCGCGCACGCGTACTCACAAGCCTCATAGGACAGCCCTACACCGTGAGTCTCACCTCACACCTCACACACATAGACACACCTCATACTCAGACACATCAATAGATTACTTCATAAGTCAGTCTTGCACTGCATGTGAGGTTCACACGAGCTCATATTGTTTTTAAGATTTGTACAGTTTTGCTGCATGTGTACGTAGGGGGAGAGCGCGGCGGGCGCGCGGTTCTGGGAGCAGCAGGCGACGTCGCTGGCGGTGGCGTCGGGCTCGGCGGCGGTGGCGCGCGCGCTGGCGCAGTACTGCCCCCACAGTCACTACCTCAACATCGGTCAGACATAACTGTTCACTGCAAATACAACATTACATATTGTCAACCACTCTTTCACTTTGATTCTGTAACTTCGTCAGCGCAGAACGTGCAGCAGCTACCTACCCGTCCAAGTCTTGTCAAAATCGATTCAGCAGATTCGGAGATTATCCGAAACAAATGCGGCCTAGCGAACAAATATACAGACAGACAGATAAAAATGTTAAAAATTAGTTTTTGGAATGAATTAGGGAAATATGATTCATTTTCTTACAGATACAGACACTCCAATTTTATTAACATCTATAGATTATTTTCTTTTGTATTTATCGTCAGTGTGGAATTACATAATTACAGTTTTATTTGTTTAGACACTCGTTTTTGAAAAAATAGAATGGTAAGTTTTAGTAGAAGTTGCAATGAAAGTTGTATTTGCAGTAGGTTCGTGCGCGCCGCTGTGGGCGCAGGCGGGCGTGCTGCGCAGACTGGGCGGGGTGGCGGTGCGGGGCGTGGCCGCGCTCGCCGCGCTGCTGCCCGCACTCGTGCGCGCCCTACACTCCAACTGGGCGCCTAAAGGTCTGTACTCTTACCAGCGATCGTTTCGCCATTTCCGCGAATTCAGGTGTCCATGCGCTCCGTTTTCCATCTTATAATAAATAAAAGTATTTTAATAATAATAAGCTTTTATTTTCATGATAGACACATTAATAGCTATCATATAAAAATGACTAGCTGTCTCCTGCGACTTCGTCCGCGCGAAATTAATTTAGTCGTTTTGTAGATAAGTTGTAAGAATGATGTGATGTGATGTGATGTGATGCATGCAGAGAGCGAGGCGCTGTGCCGGTGTGTGCGGCGCGTGCTGAGCGCGGAGGCGGCGATGGCGGTGGCGGGGTGCGGCGTGGTGGGCGCGCTGCTGCGTCTGGAGGCGGAGGGTCACGCCGCGCGCCCGCGTCTGCCGCACGCGCTCTACGCCGCGCTCGACCTCGCACCGCAACACAAGGTCACACCGCACTACACCGCACTGCTACATACATACACACGTCTCAAGTGACAACTCATTACAACTACACTGCGTGCCGGAGACCTAATTCTAGTCCTTTGTCCAAAAAAAAGTTAAAAAAAAAAACATTTTACAAGAAAAAACTTTCCTTTATTTCTGACAGTCACCTGTTATAAAAAAAATGGGAAACTACATTTAGTATTTCTAATTTTGCTTTTTTTTCATCTAAGAGTAGGAATTGAAACAATTTTATAATGTAATGAAAAGTGTGTGTACTGTACAGTGGCTGTACGTGCGGGGCGCGGCGTGGTGCGGCGGCGAGGCGGCCGGCCTGGCGGACGCGCTGCTCGACAAGATGCTGCGTCTGCACGCGCTGCCGCACGAGCTGCAGCCGCTGCTCGACGCGCACAATCGCAACGCCCACCTCACGACCGCACACGCCCCCGTCACACCTCAACACGCCCCCGAGACAACGGAACATGCTCCCGACACGGAGGAACACGCCGAGCCTGATGCGGAACAGGATGAACCCCGTGAAAAGATTGAGGGGTACATATTTAATGAGGCGTTTGATGTATTCGACGAGGATCGTGTCCAGCCGGAGGAGCGGCGCGGGTACGAGCTGCTGCGGGACGAGAACGACGCGGCGGATGAGGGATCCCGCGGAACATAAGTATTCAAGTATTCAGCGGAAGTCAATGGGGAACAAATATTGTGTTCCGTGTATGTATGGAGGGTTCATCTCAGTCAAACGTTATTTAGTTGTAAATTTATTTTGCTGATATGTTTTTAGAAAGCTTTAAAGTTGTATTTATATTTTGACTGAGATTGTTTGCCTTTACGAGGCATGTTGTTGGGATGCGAGTGTACTTAGCCTAGTTTTTTTTTTATTTTAGTGCTTGGAACAACACTGTGCTTTGTATTTTTTATGCCAACCATGTAATGAATTGTGACGTTAATTTATAATCTCACTAACTTATGTTTCCGACAATTTAAATACTGAATGAATTCAAAATTTGATATCAAAATCGGCAATTTTTTTTCTCTTTGTCATCATATTGCATTTTTTTAAGTAAGGTTATAAACTGACAGTGTACACTTTTACGGTGACATAAAAAATAGACGCGTTCAAAACCACTATTAGTTAAGTATAATTTGTATTTCCCGCCTACTTCAATATAAATAAATGCATTAGTACATATAATATATTTAATTAATATTAATTATAGTGCAATATTTATCCATATGATATTGGGAAAAAACGAATAAATGACATTTTGTTTTTCGTCATTACTTAAATTATATGATATTTAAAAAATACAGTTATATAATTTTTAACCTTTTAGATTTCGGTGATATTTGTCAAGTTCACATTTCGAAAGTATTAAGAAATATTAGTACAAGAACAATTATTTTATTATGAAAACCGCTTTCTGCATTTGAACTTAGATGTAGTTCTCGGTAACATGGTACATAATCTATGTATGTTTTTTTTAATTCAGTTAAAATTAACAATTTTATCATTTATCGTAACATATTTAAAAAAAAATTCTTTGACAAAATAGATATTTTACATTTGCTTACAAAGGTAATTGGCTAAATAAAATATGCGATACGATTGACGAATAATTACTAAAATTCCCAAGTAGATTTGTAAAACATAAATTTTTGAAGTAAAATACGTATTTGAAATATAAACAGTACATCTTTTAGAGATGAATATTTATCTAGTAGTGATACTGCGATGCATAGATAATCTATAGATGGAATGGTTCCGTCTCAGTTTGACATCTAATTCTAAGACTACATTTTTAAAAAGTCATTTGTATCTATAGGTTATATATCAATGCTGCGAAGATTTAAATTAGGTAGGTTATAGTTAGACTATTGTTAATACAATGCTTTATAGATAACAGGCTAAAAAAAAGGGCCTACCTATGATTTATTTCAACTCAAGACCATATGTAAAATGTAAATTTTGTGTTTTAACATCGTAAATCCAAATATTTGCTAGAACTGTATCTCACGTCGTAATAATAGAAATAGAAACAGTGTGTCCGCCTTCTGTATTTTTTATAGCTCTTGAGGTGAAATAAATATAAATATGTATAATTTGATCTTCGCTGTTCGACAACACAATATTTATGAAATAAAATGTTCAATTGCATAACTGGTTTTATTTCTTTACAAACTTCTGTTAAATTATTATTATTTATTCTTATAAGATAGCATATTTAAATATGTAATTGTAATTTTTACATAGTAAATCATTACGAACTTTGTGACAGCATCCGGATTTCCCGCTCTTTTTTAGACAGTTGAATGCGCGTATTTCGCCATCAAATGTCACGATCATTGTTTTTTTTCATATGTTATAAGCAAAAGTACACAGCACTGTGAAACAAAGTTATTTTAAAATTAATCGAATAAAAAAATCTAAAGACTAACGACGAACTAGACTTTGCATCTGCGTAACCCTACCCACGTTTGTCCATGATGAGAAAAAGTATCAAAATAAGATAATTTTATTAACACAAACTAGACTTATAAAATAAATTTCACATTATCGTACAAATATGTTCAGTGTTGCCACTTTATTATGGCGGTTTATAAATCTGGTTATTGAAATAAATCTTCCGATGAAAAATATTCTGAAAGAAGTTGTCAAAGAAATGACATGTTTTTGGTGGTGCTGTCAGAGCGTGTAATATCGTTTTGTACTACCGGGCTCTGTGTAAAGTACAAGTGCCGAGATAGGGCCCTTTACTCATAGAGCAATAGGTGGGATGAGCGCGCGGCTGGTGTGCGCGCTGCTCGCGGCGCTGCTGTTGCGCGCGCGCGCTCAGGAGTGCGCGCCAGGCACAGGCCAGTTGGCGCGACCTTGCCAGCCAATCATCACCACCACCAGCGAAGACGCTGACCTTGATGAAGAGAGCGACTCTGCACCTTTCATGGTTTGTTTTAGTTTTCTCCAAGCAACAAAGTGTAAGTATTATAATAGGCAATAGGCTATGGAGCAAACTATTGAACCCTTTAATGGGCGATTCATCTAAATAATTTTCTGAAAGGGCTTTCTTTCTCACCCCACCACCAAATGGATTGTAACTTATCTCGGATATAAAGGAATTAATTGAATTTAGTTTTCCTATTTCAACAAAGTACGCGTTATTAAAATTATTGATCACTCTGAATTTTTTGTATTTAATTACAGCAAAGGCATAAAATCTTAGGCTATTTATTCCCATAGCTCCTCTGAGACAATCCTATTCACTCGAATGTAAAGTAAAATGTTATAGGCCTATGTAATTGTAAATGAAAAGGTAGCATTTACATGTGTAGATAGTGGTAGAGCACGCGGACGGGTGGCGGTGCGCGGCGTCTTTGGTGTCGCTGCGTACGGGCGTGACGTCGGCGAGGTGTGCGCGCGGGCGGGCTCATCTGACGCAAGGTCGCATCAGCGAACAGACGCCGCAAGAGTTATGGGCGCTGGCTGCGGCGCAGCTGGCGCGTCGCGTGCCCGGGGACAACCTCGAGGGCTTCGGTTCGCGCCCCGCCTCGCCCGCCTCTACGGCCCGCCGCGTCGCGCGTATCGCGCTCGCTGGTGATCGAAGACGAGTATGTGCCTCTTTTAACTAGCCATAAATATTTTCTTTTTCTTACAGTGCCTCTTGAACGTTGGAGGTTGGCTACGTAAATTTGTCCCTGGTTCAGAGCGAGACGAAACAATTCTTCGGCTAAATAATCCCCGTCCATTCTCTGATGTTACGAATCGATTCTGTACTTTCAAATTGTTGTTGTTGATGTGTGAAGGGAGAAGATCCGCTGCTGGACGACCTGGCGGTGCTGGAGCTGGAGTCGCCGTTCGGGTCGTCGGCGCGCGCGCGTCCTATCCTTATGGCGACGTCGCGCACCGAGTGCGAGAAGGAAACGGCGTGCCACGCGGTGCGCGCGGTGGCGGGTGCAGGCGCTCACCGCGCGCGCTTCCGCGTCGTGGACGCTGCGCTCGTAGCGGAGGCGCACTGCGCCACGCGCGTCCCTCACTGGGCGGACGTGCGCGATCGCGCGTTTTGTTTTTCCGGTGAGGAGCTATGTTCAGTAAGTTCTAACTTTCAATCCATAAAATACAGTACATCTTGCTTACTATTTTAATAATATTATAAATGCGAATGTATGGATGTTTGTTAGAAGATATCTCCAGAATGGCTGCATCTAGATGAAATTTGTTATATATGTATACCAAAGATGTCTAGAAGAACACATAGGTTATTTAACATTTTTTAAATTCAGCGCAGTTAAAATCGCGGACAACAGCTAGTTATGTAATTTATATTTTTGAGGTCGATTGGTGTATGCCAAGTTTGTTTGTTCACTTGTCATGAGGGTGGTAACAGTCAGTTATACGGTGGTCGTTTGTGTGCAGAACGACCGGGGCACGGGCGTGGTGTGCGGCGGCAAGCTGTGCGGCGTGCTGAGCGACTCTGTGTCGCAGGAGGGGCGGCACGCGGCCGGCTGCGGCGACACGCACGTCGCCATGAGCGTGGCTCGCTGGCGCGCCTTCCTGCACTGCGCCCACACACTGCGCGCCTGCGGACGGTAACAACACTTCCCTGGACCACTAAATATTTCAATATTTACGAAACAATTGAAAACTTTGGCGTACATTACAGGGGCGACTGCGAATCGCTGTGCAGCGAACACCGGCTACTCAACACCGAGCCCACCACAGACCTGAGCACGCACGTCGACTCCACACCTTCTAGTACTTATGATATTAATTTCAGATTTAAAACAAATACAGTAGCCTCCACCCCCAAAGTCTCATTCTCGTATTCAAGTTTTAATCAAGGCAGAGGTTGCTCAAATTTCTATAAAATCTGTGTTTACTAAATATATGTTAAAAAAAAGTGTGATGTAAAAAATATGTGCAGGCGTAGTGCCAGCGGCGCCGCACCGCAGCTCGCCCGCGGACGAGCTTTACTCTTACTCTTCGGACGTGGTGATGCTCGCCTCCGCCAAGCCGGACGCGCGCTTTCCCTTCCGCCCCGCACACGAATTTGAGCCCAACCGACCCGACTTCAAGGTACTGTCTGGATAGGATATAATAGGTGCACAGTTTGTATCAATGTCTGTCGACTTTACTACTACTTCACGATCATCTAATGACAGTTATTGGAACGTGTCCAGGCCGGCGAGTACGGAGACAACGCGGCAGACTACGAAGAGCCGGCGCCGACGACGCGGCGGCGCGCCATGTCCGTGTCGCGCTCGGTGTCGCGCGCACTGCACACGGTCACGCGCACGCACCCCACGCCCTCCCCCTCCAAGGAGCCCCCCGCCGAGTCCCTGCGTGCCGCCGCCGCACATCCCCGACCCCGTCCCCTCTCCACCTGCTTCTACTTGCTAATGTTAACAAACATCTTCTATATTACATAACTAATTACGAATGCGAGAACCATATGTCTCCTAAATTTTACAAGTTTTTGTGTTTAATTTCTTGTGAATAATATAATTTTTAGTTTGCGAATAAATTTATTTATAGATATCGTTTTATCAATGTTTTATTACTGTATTGATTACCTGCAAAAAGGAGTTATTCCATAGTCGCGGCTTACCACGGCTTATTAAAAGCTTAATAAGGCGACAAATGAGCTGGCGGCCACCTGAAATAGTTGAAATAGCGAAGCGAGCGTTGACCATAGACATTGCAACTTGCATGCCCTTAATCGACGGACAATAACATGCACAGAAAGAATATTTTTATTACCATTCGGAAAATCCACTTCCACATCCCATTAGAAGACTAAAGTAAGGGCTCCTAAGACGCACACACATCAGACGAGATAAAGAATTGCTTTCCCTTCACAGCTATCTTCTGTATGGTCGTGATATTTCAACGGGCGAGCCGGACCAATTCGTGAGAAGATATTAAAGCGGGCTCTATCACTGTTAAAAAAATATTTGAAATACTCCATTGAAGTGTATCTTAGCTGTATCTTTTATATACTCTTTGGTATAAAGTCAAAGACTTTGACAGCTGACAGTTGACAGCAGATACAATTTGTTGACATTTGCCAAAAATAAATTGTGCTGCGGAGAAGAAATTTTATTTATTAATTAATATTTTTAAACTCTGTACAAATGGAGTCAATTCAGGTTATAACGCAGGACTACGTAAATGTTCTTATCACAACGTCTGATAGCGAAGATGGCCCGCCGATTGAAAGACGGTTCAAGAAAGAAATTTCTGTGCTGGAGTTTAAGGTTAGTATGATTCATTCTCCACCTTTATGTTAGTTAATTAATAAATTTAATAAAAATCGTTTTAATTTATACATTTCTTCGTGAAAATATTTAAGGTATTCGAATTTTTCGTTTTCCGTATTGCGTAGTAACCGGTAAAACCGGCGTAACTACGCAGTACCCGAATCTTACAATTTAAGTTGTAAATATATTTAAAATCGATACAATGCCATTAAAATAATATTATTTAGTAGGATCTATTTAAAATAATAGGTACATATATTAATTATGTGGCGATTTTGCCCGGAGATAAAAACCTTCCATGCCAACGACTTGTAACTGCGTAATTTTTTTTTTGTGTTAGTTTATTTTTGTACCAGGAGCCATTGCCTATTGCCATTTCCTTCCATCCCTTTTTTCTTTGGGATTTTGCTTGCTGCAATAATTCTTCCATACCACTGACCATACCTACAGATGAATAAAATTGGTGTGTCTGTACATCATGCATGCACGAAGTATTTTCGGTACAGTAACTATTCAACTTTTAAAATTTCCGTCGTTTCTACAGACAGATACTTCTAGTCTACTCATAAAATGGTTCAGTTTACATCACATGCAGTTGTTTGTGTTTTAATTATAATCAAAGTAAATTACATTGTTTATTTTCTGCAGACAAAACTAGAGCTGGTAACCGGAGGGTCAGCAGCTACCATGAAGCTGAAGGTGTTTGACAAGAAAAACAACTTTGTGTGTGACATTGACAATGACAATGCCCTGCTTGGGTCGTACCCCATTGATGATGGCACCAGGATCCATGTCATTGACAACTTCACAATGGTCAAAGATTTTGCTGCCAATGATAGTGGTGAAAGGTAAGTTAATATTAAAGAGAACGGTGTAAATTTATAGAAACATCAGTGCTGGTCTTTGCTTGTAAATTTTGCAATAAAATAAAAAAGGCAATAATAACATTGTAGTTTTTAAATACAGTAAAACTAAAGCTTTGGCTTAAGTGATCTTATTATTATATAGGTTCCAACTATCTGAAGAAGACTATGAGAAGAAGGGAGACACACTGCGTTCATTCCTGCAGCGAAACAAGCTGGGCAAGTACAATGAGGAGGAAATGATTAAGCTGAAGGAGCAGCAGCAGAAAGAACTGGAAGAAGAGGCTAAGTATGGAGATTTTAAAATCATACCTGGATAGGACACATTCCAAGTAACTGCAATATTTTTCTTGCTCATAGGGGCCTCTCCCATACCCAAGTTTCTCATTTATGAAGGTTGTTTATCAGGACAGGACAATGACTCTCGCTTACCCACATATGACTGTATTTGTAACTAGATAACTGTGATACTATATTATTTATTTGTGAAATGAAGATAACTATGTCATTGAATTAATTTTTATTTAAATAATAAAAATAGTAGTAGTACTTACAGCAAATAATGGTCTTAAACAAGTCTTTTCTAAGGATGACTTTGTGGGAACAGTGTTACATAGGTGAGTAACGTAAAGGCGTTTGTGTGTCAGTCTGGCGAGCAAGGTGCTGGTGGGTACGCGGTGTGAGGTGCGCGCGCCCCGGCAGCCGGCGCGCCGCGCTACTGTGCGCTACAACGGCCCACTGGAGGGCGCGCGTGGACTATGGATCGGCGTGCAGTACGACGAGCCACTCGGCAAGAACGACGGAGAGTGAGTGTTTCTTAAAACAAAATTCTGCCAAAAAAATACGAATTTAAAGTTAACTTAATAAAAAAAAATCTTAATTGCATATTTAATTTCAGGGTGAACGGCAAGAGATACTTCACATGCCCACCAAATTACGGTGGCTTCGTGAAACCTGTCTACGTAACTGTCGGGGACTTCCCCGAAGAAAAATATGATCTGGAGGACGAAATATAAGTTTCCTTACTTCACATATATAACACTATATTGCTGATGCTTTAATTTGCGTACAATTAATCAGTCATATAGATTTTATGCTTTATTATTCTTAAATTTGAGTCGAACTTTGGTAAGTGAGAAACTCGGGTAAGAGAGATGGTTCCTCGGAATCTTGCTTCTCCATGTTCTAGTATTTATACATATTTGGTATATTTTTAGGTGCAATATAATCAGTGCATCATTAATTGTATTTAATTTGTATGTGTGAATGTATGAAAACATTTTTAACACTGGTTGATTGATGAAAAACAATGAATCTTTGAAATTGATAGATGTTTTTGTATAATGAAAACTCATTTTAACATTTATATGCTTGCTGGCAGGCTGAATATGTAGGCTTTTTATATATGAGCTAAAAAAGAATGTAAAGTGGGTGCGAGAATTGATATGTCGAAGATTTGGTCAAATGTTGACTCAAAATTTCTTTTTATAGCTAAGACTGAAACATGAAACATATTACTTTTAAAACACATTAAAATGTGATTTTTCACTTTTTTTATAACTTATTTTGAGAAAAATTACTCAATAATTGCATTTATTAGTTGTTAGATTTGATCATTGGATTTACTGTAAAAATAATGGGTAAATTAGTATTGAAAAGCACATTGCATATAATAACACCGAGTTTAGTGAATGATTACTCTCTAAAACTACGGCTAAATGGTTGTTAATATGAACATACACGGTATGTATGGTGACCGAACGTGATCTGGTTAGTGTGAAAGGTATCGCATATTATAAAATGTGGTAAATATCTGATTGTGCGGTGTTACACCGTACACATATTTTGATATTTCTCAAACGTAAATGTAGGCTTTTGTACCATTTTTATTGAAGTTGAAAAAATGAAAAATTGTGTTTGAATTTATTTTAGATTAAATTTTGCTGATTTTTTTTTTAATTTAAATATTAATTATTAAGTTCGTAAAATCATGTTTCCAGTTGAAATATTATATTGATTATAACATTCCACAAATTCGACAGATCTGGCGATATATTTTGAGATAGCTGTAACATTGTAATATTTTCGTATCATTGCTTGTCATTTGTAATTTATATAAAAATAAACGTATTTAACGAAATTAAAATGTTTTTTAATTATAAATTAATACGACTATTTATCATTTTAAATATAAAATACAGTTTAAAAAAGTGTATTCTTAAATTTTAAGTATCCATTGCTGCACATCTGTTTTGGTCTATATCTATTTTTTTTTTTAAAAAGGAAAGCACTAACAACGCCGTCCACATCATAACGAAACTTCAGGGGGGATTGAGGTCAAGCTCTATTTGATTAAAAAAAAATTATATGGGGGAAAACTAAAGACAAACCAATTTTAGTCACAAAATATTTTATTAGTCATTAGAACTTTCTCCTCTTCAATATCTCCGGTCTCCAGTTAACTGGATGAGTCTCTTCTGAGGCGGTGTCATCCTCCTTGTATATCTTGATGGTCTTGTCCGCTTCTGTGGTGATGAGTCTGGAGCCCGACTGGTCAAATGTCATTGAGAATATGCCCGCCTCCGAGTCCATTGATCCCGGTTGCACCGGCGCCTGGAATATCATCATCATCTTTACTCAAGTAAGCAAGAATATTATTTCAATTTCCGAAGATTAGAGGGATGTCAATACGTTTTTTGACAGTGGAATCAGACTTATTATATCCAATACATCAAAACACTGACCTGTAACCGCTGGAAGTTGTACCCCGTCCTCCAGTCCCACAGGAACATGGTGCCATTATCACCACCGCTGACAAGCACACCCTCAGAGTTCACCGCCATGCAATTCACTATCGCATTGTGCCCAGAGAGGTTCTGTATGAACTTGCCTTCAGGACACTTCCATTGTTTTATATTATCCGGTGATGCGGAGGCGAATGTGTATTGTGTGGGATGTATGACTACAGAACGGACTGATTTCTTATGATTTGTGAGTGTGCACATTGATTTGCCTGCTGCTAGATCCCATAGACGGATGGTGGAGTCATGTGAACCCGTTATTATCTAAAAAAATATAACAATGTTAATTGTGTGATTTAGATTTAAAGATGGTAATAAAGAGAAGATTCGTTTAAAAAAACAGCATATCAATAATTTCCATATATAAAAAATCAAATAAAAGTTGGCCACTGAGGGGAATTTAGAGAGTTAAGTCTCATTTTCTTCCACAGAAGGCAGGGATAAAGATTTCCGCCAGAAACAAAGAATGCAGTGTTATGTACCTGTGGCTCAGCAGACTGGCAGGCGAGCGCTGCCACAGTATCAGTGTGTCCCGTAAGTGTGTGCACATTGGCTTTAGTGCGCACGTCCCACACACGCGCGGTGGCGTCTCGCCCTGCAGTCACCAGCACGTCGATGGTGGGGTGCAGTCCCAATGTGTACACCGCTGACAGGTGCCCGTGGTAATGCCGGATCACCTTCATATAAATGTCACATTTTTATATATCATTAGGTTTTTAAAACCCGAAGAAAATTACTATGGATCATCGGAGAAATAAGCTTAAAGAAGCTTTAGGGGTATTTTAGACCGTGAGAATAGTAAGTAAGGATTTTTATGGTTGTCAGAATAGTTATAACACTTAAAAACATTAAAATTTACAAAATCACACTAAAAATATAATTTTCTTAGTTAAATTGAATCCCATTACTTACCTTGTTATACTCCAAGTCCCAGCATTTAACCTGTCTGTCCTCACCACAACTGAACAGGTAAGGATGTCTAGGTGATACTTCCAGACCTACATACAACATAAACATTGTTTTTAATATATAAAGTCAAATATTCAGTTTTGTTCAGTGCTGGATCAGTGAAAGAAAGCTCCCGAGAAAAGGACCGCCAACCACTGTGAGAAACTAGGGTTAGAGAGAAACATCTATAAACAAGACATCGGTTCCTTGGACTCGTGTATATCTATGAGCAACTGCATTTTAATTTATTATAAAACTATCATGTCTTTTTACAAATATAATGGTTTAACTAACCTCTTACTGTACTAACATGTCCTGTGAGGGATACTTTCAATTTGCCAGTTGCTAAATCCCAAATCTTTATAACTCTGTCCGCAGCACCTGAAATAAAAGTACTTGTATTATGACATAATATGGTTGAAAATAATTTAAATTGAAACAGCAACCATAAAGAACATAAATATCAACCCTCTGATGAAAGGAATGACTTCTTTACTAGACTTATCATTTAATACATACAACACACAAGTTTAAAAGCGCATCAAAATCATATAGACTTGCTAAATGATAAAAATGTAAATATAGTGCACACACCTGTAGCAAACCATTCATTGCCAGGCTCAACAGCAACACACCTCACCCACCCCAAATGTCCTGATATAACCCTGAACAATTTCCATGGTGCGTGCCACTTTGGTCTGGGTGCTGTTGGAGGTTTGCGAGGTACAATTGCAGCAGCCCCAGTCCCTAGTAGACCCTGAGAACCAGGGGCTGCTGGGGCTGTTGTGGACCCTGGGTTGTAAGGTAACATGGCACCATCTGAACCTAGAGCTGCGGACTCTGCCATTTCTGAATAATTAAAGAAAAAAGTTGATTGTTAATTTATGTAATATATAAGTTATATTATAGGTGCTTAAACTTTTTTGCTACAGTTTTTGCTGTGTATTAACAAAGTAATACCTGTATCATGTGGTGTTTCAGGTCGGCTCAAGATTTGCTGTTGTTTGACTGCTTGCGCTTGCTCCACTGCAGACATCACCAGACCATAGCTGTCTCTAGCTTTTATATTTTTCAAAATTTTCTCACTGCAATAATTAAAAAGAATTAACAAATATTGATTGAGTATACGAAGTAAAGAAAACGTTTAAGAAATACCAGCAAAAAGGCATTGTTGTCAATTATTAAGTCACTGCATTTTGGCTTATAAGGTATCATACTAACACAACAGGTTCGTGATCTAAAGGCAATAAGTTTTATTACCGTAAATAACCGCCGTAGTTGATTTAAATTTTGAATTTGTATTCATCTTAATAATTAGTACTTACGCTTTTTCATCAATTGGCGGCAATAAACCTTGGTTAGCCAAGAACATATCATGAGATCTTTTCAATGATCTGAACACAAGTGTATGTACAGAGTGCTTTATAACATCGTCAGCCATTTTTTGATATTATTAGTTTTGCATATCACAAATAAAACCGCTTAAATTATTTCTTAACTATTTAGTTTTAACTTAGTGTCAATTAAACTAACCCAAATACAAACAAGAATAAACAAAACGCGCTTAACGTTTTTGTCAAAATTGTAATAATATGACGTTGACACTCCGGCAACTTGGTAATGTGACAATGACATTTCATTTTGCGAAGCTTATTGTCTATGGATATTTGAACCAAAGTGGAGCTTTGGAACATTTTATACACTCTTTGCTTTGGAAGGTAGTTTTTGGTTAGGTTAGGTTATTTTATATACTCTTTGGTTAGGTCTAAAAAGATTTACTTATTTTTTTTTTAGATTTGATTTGTTTCGATCAATTTAAGTTTCCTGTTTTTTTACCTCTGAATAAGAAATAAAGGCGGATTGATGGCCTTCTCCCTACTTATCTATCTTATAACCTATTCTACCATCTTGTTATAAATAGGGTTTTATAAGTAATCTAATGTTAATAAAAAAAATAAAAGTACTGTTTGCAGTGGTGTATTAATCCTTTATTATTGTATTATAAATAGAAAATCATTTTACAAGTTATTATACTAATTTCATATCTTATTTATCATAATTTTAATTATCCAAAAACAATGTATTACAAATTACTACTAAACTTATTTTAAGACATTTCGAACAAGTACCACAAAATTCCAAAGCATAAAACATTATGCATATTATTTTATTATTAGCATCTTACGAAGCTTAATTTTTTGTATTTACATTTACTTATGTACAAGACAATTTTTTTTATTTGCACTACAATAATTACCTTATGTAAACGGAAATAATTCATATTGTCATCTTGCTTTACTATTACACTCAAAAACCTTAATACGTTTCTTCTGATATGATTTGGTTAGTATTATTTAATACGTAGGTAGAAGTATGTTAGGGTAGAGTTAGTCTAGTTATATTTTGTAAAGGAAAAACTTAAATTCTTTTTCGCCTTCTAATCGATTACTAGAGTAAACAGTACTTAAGTCTTAATTTTATTTTATTAAATAGACCTACGTTTTTGAGGGATTTGTGAACTACTTACAGATCTTAAAAATATAAATTATATGCGTTAAAGTACTAACATCTAGATATTATCTGTGCAATTAAGCTATATACCCGAACATAAAAACATCTTGTGAAAATAGCTAAAACACGTAGTTGAAATTCACTCATATGAAAGTTTTTGCTTTGAAGTGTTGAGAACTGTTAGGTTCTCACACGAGGCGATCGACGTTGGAGTCCGCGATGGACTGCCACTCGTAATCTATGTCTGTTGTATCGGCGACGGAGAAGACCGCGCCTCCCTCGCTTCAGATGGCCGACTTCTCAGAATTGTTGGCGTCACTGACGCGCCTCGAGTGCGGCGCTCGGCGGAGGGTCCTCGGCTGGAGGTTCAAGGGAGGAAGGTTTGGTCTTTCGATCCTAGTAGGCGAGGAGACTAGCGGTCTAGTTCTACGTAACGTTTCCATTCCGTTTCTAAAGTATTCCTCTGTTCTATCGGAGTAGCTTTCGATGAGAGGCGCCGGGTCTTCGTATTCGACGTTGAAGTGTCTTGTGATGGCGAGATCGTCCGGTGGTCCGAGTTTATATAGCGGGGGTTCGACACACTCGTAGTGATGGTCTTCGGTCTCGTCGTGCGGGTAGGTGTCGGCGACGAAGTGTCGCGTGCCGCGCGGGGTGAGAGCCGCCCACAGGACGCGGGAGTCCAGGGCGGCGCTACCGTACAGCGCGTTGGAGCCGCTCGCCTTGCCCGTACCACTCTTACAACCACCACGTGCCCTGAGAGTTCAATAGAACACATTAAATAGGTGACTACAAAAAGAAATGTAAAAATGGAACGATAGCAGGAATTAATTTAAAAATACGTACTCTCTACACTTGAGTAGGAAGAGTGCGAGTAGGGCTGCGATGCAGAGCACGGCGATGCAGCACGTGATCAACACCAGGAACCACGTGTCGTCGTAACCCGCAGGCTCTGCGATCACATAATGGCGGTTACTTAATTATCATTATAAACTAGGATCGTCTAAACTAAGATAAACCTGTAATTGTATAAAAACACGTGACTTGCGTGTAACTACAAAGAAGAAAATATATAATAAGAAGATAGGTCTTAAGACGTTTTGGAATTTATAGGTCAACGAGTGTTACTGAACTTCTCGTGTACATGCATGTTATCATCCAAATAATGACGAAAACACCTTAATACCAAACTCATTCCACTGACCATGTCTTGGTAGCTCATGGTATTCGACTCCTGGGAAGAGCGCGTTGACCTCGTTGTTGTGGTGCGGGGGACAACGCGCGGCCTTGCATGGCGGCGTCAGGTTAGCAGCGCCGGCGCTGGCCAGGAAGGCTGGCAGCGGCGGCGGCGGCATACGCAGGATGCTGTCCGGCGGTGGACCCACCGACAGACATTCAGACCCGCACGACATACTGTTACAAAGATATATGAAATTAATTAAAATAGACACAATAGTCCTTTTTGTTATATTTTTATTCCAATTTCAAACATTTTGTATTATTTTTAAAAATATCGATAAAGTTAACATAGCAAAAGTAGTTCAAAGTCCCGTTTTAATATTTTTCGCACAACCAAAGCGAAATAAAATATATCTTCAAGGAAAATATAGGAAAATGTCTTTAACCATCATAAAAATATTGTGATATAGTTTTTTAAAGGTTTTCCACGTAATTTTCAACACAAAATTAGAAGATAAAGCAATTAAACAATAAAAAAATTACTTAAGCTAATTTTTTGATATTGTTAAAGCTTAATTAGGTTATTAACATCATTAATTTATTAAGGAAGTAATTAGGTAATGATTTTATACTCACATGTATTTTTAAACAATTTTTTTATACAAAACACAGCACTTTACAACAGTTTCGAGTTACACTTGCACAGAATTTGGTACAGGGATGAAGAGCGCAGACGCGAACCTTTACCACAGACACACCAAACAATATTTTCAATCAGAAATTTTCTATTACATCATCATTCATTACCTGCTTAGTACCAAAGATGAAACAATACTTTTGAGTAAAACACGCAATGGATGTAGTGTATTCTATATGTTAGGAGGGAATTCCAGACGTAGTACGAAGCATTTTATTGATTCGCGCAAGCGCGGGAAAGGATTTTGCGACCCTTACATTATAGTACTCCGCTACACAGTTCAAGAGGGTGTCAAGTGTCACATGCTGTCTCTGTCTATTGTAATAGATTTAAACATGCCTGAAAGAGAGGGATGATTGATTGTGTGCATGCTTAAATATGTCTATGACATGTTATTATGGCCAGCTTTTATTAAATAATATTCTGTTATTTTATACACTTTTGGTTTTTTTCTTTTAAAAATTTATCAAGTAATTTTTATAAAATTACATGAAAGTGTATTTGTCCTACAACAACCAATGGACTAGCTAATCGGTTAATATGAACTGTGAGAGATTTGAATTCGAATCCCGGCGAAAAAATCAAACTTAAGAAAAAAACAACAAAGTTAGTTATCTTAAAAGAACCCTAACGGATTAGTTTTAAAATAATAAAAACATATTAGATAGTATTATATACGCACTGCCGACGATGTTTATTTGCTAGCCATCTTGATGAAATTTCATACGTGATCATCATCATCAACCCGCCCTTATCCCTGTCGAGGGCCGGCACAGTATGTACTACTCCTCCATACATCTCCATCAGCTGTCATATCCGAGTCTACCCCCTTCCTACGCATATCCTCTTTCACACAGTCATTCCATACTTTTTTGGTCTCCCTCACTCCTCCTTTGATTTATAGAAGTTATATGAACAGTTTGTTGAATGCAAACCGAACCTGAGTGGGTAGCGAATTTATTTCTTTGACTGTGTATGGAAGGTGTAGAAGAATTTAATTAGCTTTGCTAGCGCTTTGTGCTTGCGGAAAATTGAACGTATACTCCCGGGTTGAGGTTTATTTTGTTGATTTATTTTTACTGTGGAACATTCTATTTAAAACGACCACAAAGGTTTTAAATAAATGGATTTATATTGTAGATTTTTATTGTTTATTTATTTAACGTGTGTTATGTCCTACAGAAATAATTTTAATATACAAAAAAAACACGCACCATTACTACAAAATGTTTTTTTTCTCAGTGGTAATAATGGCCAGGATATTAGTATTTTTGTTTAATATCTAAAGAATTGCTAAATCTTACTAATATTATAAATTCGAATGTTTAAATGGATGGATGTTTATTTGAAGGTATCTTCGGCACGGCTTAACGGATCACGATGAAATTTGGCATGGATATAGAACATAGTCTGGAAGAACACATAGGCTACCTATTAAGTTTTTTTTAATTTCGCGCGGACGGAGTCTCAGGCGGCAGCTAGTTTTTAATAAATCTATCTTGTAATAAGTGAAATTAAATTTGAAGATACCATAAAACTAGATGTAAACGAAGCCTACCTTTTTAATAATTCACAACTTAACCTTCTTCAGACAGACAGTGGTGAAAAAAATGTTTAGTTTATGACGTCATCGGTACAGGAATTTCATTAGACGTCATTCCTATAGAGGGCGCGGGGAACGCGGCTTTGACGTGCGCCAAATAGAATGCTTCTCTTTTACACCGACCACAAAGTGCACCAATATTTTTTTAAATAATTTTCCCTTAAACTTTATTAACGAACTATTTTGATATTAAAATATGTTGTCAAATAAAAAAAAAATATAGGTGTTTAATTTTATTATTAATGTATGAAATAATTAGAAATAATATACTAGAAATGAGACGAGAATAATTTGAGCTATTTATTTTGTTACATTTCTTTTAGAAAATAAATAATTATCAACTTTTATCTCTGAATGAAAATGGAGGGAATATTGAATGTAAATTTGAAGTTCTTCAATCGACTTTTAACTGGGTAGCAATAGTCTTCAATCTGCATTAATTTAATCCTTAAATGAAATGATTTAAAAGTTGTTTGAAGCTTAAAGGTATTCACACGTCAATCGATCCTCATAACGCTTAAAATATTAACCGAACGAACGTCCATGACATTGAACTTAAAGTAATTCCATTGTTCTATAAATTTTAATAATAATAGTTAATTCAGTAACAAACTCAATAATTAGCTTATTTAGCTATAATATAAGGGGATTATATTTTGGGAAGAATGCCGAAATGAAAACAAACATTGCATAAAGGGCGCCATTTGTCTGACGTCATCAAGATGGCCGCCCCATTGATGAGTCGTATAGCGGTTGGGGGCGCACTGCGCATGCGCGAGCTATACAACCATTGATAGAGAGCGTGAGGACTTTTAAAACAAACGATTTCTTATATTAAAATTTCAAATATGTACTTTTTTCAATTTTTTTATTTACAGCGATTTATCAGAGAATAACATAAGATGATTGTTACTTATTACGATAATTCAGCTTACTAAAATAGAACATTTCAACGATAAAAACCCATTTTGTTAAGGAAATTACTGAAATAAGGCCCGCCATTTCTACGATCACTACATTCGTTTAACTGGTTTTTGTGTCACTCAGAAAATATTTTGTCTTCAGTTTCCACGTAACCAATCTAAGTAACGGTGGATTTTTGAGATCAAAATCTCCGTTCAACGCATATTGTTATCACTTTTATGTCAAAGATATATAGATAACGACATATTTTATACACAGATTCTGATCTCACAAACCCACCGTAAGTATTAATGTAATCTCTCTTAAATCGTAAGTAAGTCTTTGTTGGGGCCGTAAATTGCGTTGTTGTTTCCACTAAAATTAGTCTTCTGGCAGAACTTTATAAAAGCTAATAATAATAATAAAAATAATCGTGTGGTGTAAAATGCTTTCCAGAGCAGCCTCTTTCAGACACCTCACAATAAATATATAGGTAAGCTACGGCGTAGACCTCATAAAGGTTTCAGAGCGAGCGAGCGTAGACGCGCGGATGCTACGCCGCGGAGTTACGAATATTTTGAACAGTAAATTGAATATTTAAAATATTCAATTAACTTTATTTCTCAGTTAATTTTTTTCACACTTCGATTATTATAATTTTAAATTGTTATATAAAAATAAATAAATTCGTTTGCGCTGTTTCTTGAACTTCGTATTAAAACTAGCGGTAAGTTTTATTATTTAGAATTGTAGATATCTTTAGACTTTGATTTAATAAATTAAACACTTGATATATTGTTTAATTCTACAGTTTATTCAGATTACTACTTTATAATTTGAAATTATTTCTTTTTTTATTTACTGCAAAACTTTTTATAAAAGTTAAACATAAATATTAGTGTAAAATAAGCATTTTTTTTAATTTCACTAAAGTTATTTTTAATATAGTTTCAAAATTAAGTTCTTTGAATAGATAAATTAGTGTACTTAGCTATAATATTCATACAATTACGATTTTAAATTTGAAGTTACAAAGTTCTGTTCAAAACAGATGTTTTTATGACAGATCTGTCCTTAAAAATAAGAGACGTAATTTAATGGAAAAACAAATGGTTGCATGAATTATTAATAGATTCACTTTATTCGAGTGGTTGGATCTCTCATCTCAGATATTAGCTATTGTTTTTATGTAATCTGTTTATTGATAAAAAATTGCAATAAATATGATTTTTGTCTACACACACACACACACAAATATGGAAATGTTTTTTTTATTGTGTACGAGTGTACGATATATTTCGTGCACTGGAACAAGCAAACTGGAATTATCTTCATTTTTTTATATCATAAGGTGGCAAACGAGCGAGCGGCCCATAGACATACGCAGTTGCATATGCGTTGCCTACCTATAATCGATAAGGATGCACAGAAAGAAAATATTTTCCCTTCCCATGCATCCTCTCATCCGGAAAGACCACTTCCACTTACCATCCTTTCCTTATAAGAAAAAGGGTGGAAAGGGAAAGTGGACTGAATTAGGACTCCGGGACGCACACTCATCAGACGAAACGAGGAATTGCTTCCACTTGACGCCTGTCTTCTGTGTGATCGTGGTATTTCACCGGGCGAACCGGGACAATCCTATTTTAAGATTAATTATTAGACTGTCAGTTGTAAGATCTTTCGGTATTTTTGTATATCGTAAAAACATCGGATAAATCTAAAACTTGAAATAGAAAAACGATTCAACCTATGACCTTAAGATTACAAGTCGGACTTAAGCCAATGCGCCATCGGGACAATCTGATTATATCATACATTTAATATTAAATAATACAGAAATATTTAAATTTTTTAATGTAACTTTTTAAACCTTATTACAGCTGAGTGTAGTTTAGGAGACGGGCTATAAAATTCAGTCAATATCTATCAAATATTTATGAAGTTTCCCTCGTAGCGTAGCGTTCAGAGAGCGTTTTATTGTGGCCTGACCGTTTATAAAGGCCCCGACATTTATAGCTCAATGAATATTGATTACATTCTATATAATCAATCTCGACTTGAAAGTTTTACAATCTGAATCTATTGTTGTTGGATTTGGTTACCATTTTGTAAGTACGACAGAGTACCACGATCACTTGCAATATAAAAAAAGGTAAGGGTCGCTTTGCACGGACAGCTTCAAGCAGTGAGCGTACTGCAACTGTCAACGCTGTAAAATATTTGCGCTGTTAACTACTCAAACCTAATCATTTACGTGATGCAGATATTGTATTCACACAACCAATGCAATAAACTTCACAGTTGATATTCGTAAAACTGTAAAATACTTTTACTCGTGTTTTGGCAATGGAAATAAACGGTTATATTTAATTATCTCGTCAACGTCAAAAACAAGGCAAAACAAAAATGGCGACGATAAAGTACCTAATAAAGAATCCCGTGGTGGAGCTTAATCGGATAGATTGTCGCGATGGAAATAATTTATGGCGCGATTTGAAATTCTAA